TGAAGCTCGGTGGGAGACCTTGGGCCAGTCACTCCCTGTCAGTCTAACCTACTTTACAGGTTTGTTGTAAAGCTAAACCAGAGGACACGTGCTTTGAGCTTCTTTGGAAGAAGGATGGGATAAAAATGAAAAAGGCAGATAAGTCTGCTGCAGATCCTTCAAAAGCACCTACAACATACCACGTGATGAGGCCATATGTAGATTTATGCCACCCTCCTGATCGCAAGAGATCAAAGACATTGCCCACAGGGGTCAGGAAGCAATTTTCCTCCAGGCCAGATTGTCCAAGGGAACTTGGACGTTTTTTGCCTTCCTCTGGGCCTAGAGGGGGGTAGGTAGATGTGAATTTCCAGTGTTGTGCAGGGGGTTGGACTAGATGTCCCTTGAGGTCCCTTCCAGCTCTATGTTTCTATGAGAAGCATATCAGCTCTTAAGCTCCACCCTCCAGGGGGCCCCATTAGATCAGCAAGAGTTGAGTCCAGTAGCACCTTAAAGACCGACTGGATTCCCAGGGTATAAGCTTTCCAAAGCTTACACTCTGGAAATATTTTTGGCTTTTCAGATGCTACTGGACTTGAATCTTTCTTTTCTACTGAAGACCCAGATGGCTGTTCACTCGACAGTCTTCCTCATTCAGACTTCCTTTTAATGTTTCTAAAAATCCCACCCTGAAATACAAGGGAACTTTCTAATTCAGAGGTGTACCTCTTTTCTCCAGTGAATGGCAACATTTCCTTTTAACCACAGGAAAGTTTCCCCTGGTGGAAATACCCAAATGGAGGCTGGCTTGGCCCTTTAAAGAGTAGGATCAGGAGCAGCTGTGATGGTTCACAGGTGAGCTGAGAAGGAACCGGAGACATTTTGCATGGCCCTTCAGGGCTCAAAGAGACAGCTGTAACAGCACCTCACTGCTTTCTTTGATCCAGAGAAGGAACCTTGTCTTGCTAATGAAGTCATCTCTCCCAGCCTTTAAAGGGCTTGCCTGCCCTTTTTTCAGCGATACAAACAAATGGTAAAATCTCCATCATTACATTCCAGCCATTTGCATTTGGCCTTAAACTACATGGAAGGAAAGATGATTACGAAGAAAAGGCAATCTGTAATTCTTCTGAAACACTGCTTGGTTGAGGCATGTCGATCTTCAATAGAAGACTGAGCCACAGCAACGTATCCTCGGAAATCCCCCTTTAAGTCCCGTCCCCTAACATATCCTCCGGTATATATAATTCTATTTTGGTTATGGACTCCCCTGAACATTCCAACAAGCTCCAAAATCAGTTCACTCTCTGATCTGTCATTCAGAGGGTCTCCCTATCCACTGGCTGCTTTGCCTGAGTCCTGCCTCCAACATTCTAAATAGTTTGCTGTTCCTCCTCCAGTCAGGAGGAGGTCAGCCAGTCAGAACACAGAGGTTATTTGCATATGCATCCTCATTGGTCGTTT